CATGTGGAAATCCTGTTAGGAGTTCATTACTGTTCATTTGCCCACAAAGCGTTTGACATTACAGCACTGCATTTGACTGTAACCACAGAAGATGCACACAGAGACATCGGTGGTGTTTGTTGATCTCTGTTCACATGACTGTGAAAGGCACCTTGCCTACTTCCACCTAATGACACCATTAATTTCAGTTCCAAAAATACCTTCCAGGATTCCAGATGGGCTTTGCAACCACAGAGAGAAGCAGTGCGTGTGTGTATGTGTATGATTTTGTTACTGTATTTTGGGATGGGGACATTGGAAGGCACATCTGCTTCCATGCATAAAGTAGAGCTTGAGTAATATATCAGTTGGCCAGTAATAAAATTAGCTGACATTGAGATCTTGTGGATTTATTAGTATCTGTAAAAATCTGCCAAGTATTTAGTGACTTCTTTTATAACCAACTCTGATTTGAAGGAAAACTGCCCTTGCCTTACAATATACAGCACTACACAAAAGTTTAATTTTCATTCACGTTTAAAACATTTTTCAAAGAAAAAAATGTGGACACGCCGCCAAAGTTCAGTCCTAAGGCTCACTTGTTCTCCCCTTACATACGAAAATGAATGCGTCCATTTCAAGCGTTGTAACCATACGCCCACATACTTCCATGTGTCCTTTACGTAAGCTGGAGGGCTGTCCAGTGTCAAAAGTTTCTGACATCAACAAACATGGCGACAGTGGAGAAGGTAGAGATACCAACCACAAAAGAGATGGAAGAGTGGTGCTCTCTTAGGCCATTAAATAGTTTGCAATGTGGACAGAGAATTCTTTTCACTTATATTACCGAATGAGTGAAATTGGCATAATGTCTAATGTGAACTATTGTCTGCACTACTCCCCCAGTTTCTGCAGGTACTGCTCCATTCCATCCATATTCATAGAGAATGTGCACAAAATGAACACAGTACGGACAAAAGGGTGTCCATATCCTTATCTGTATTTAACGTTGAGCATAAATGAGCCTTTAGAAGTCGGTTGTATTTTCTGCTTCTTACAAACCACGTAATCCCAATAACAAATTTACTGTTTATTTTTAATGTCCTGTCAAGCTCTCGATCACTTGGCCTCACCATTTCCTCTCAAAGGATTCCCAACGCGATCTTAGGGGCTGTTCCATTACTTTATTAGCTCAAGTGAAAGATTTTAGATGAGCCCTTGAAAGGGATCAGGTGAACACAAGTGTCGACTTTAGCAGCAGAACTTGCCCAGAAATCATTGTGACCTGACACTCTGACCTTTTTAAACCCAAAAATAATATTAGTGTGTTCCATTTGAATAAATTACTGTCCCCGCCTCCCCTTGTGCTGTGAGTGGCCATGTTATGTAGTGTAACTGTGACACGTATCTTAGTGCTAAGTTAAAGTAGGCAAGGGTAATACAAGAAAATATTGAAACAGGGCCTTAGACCCATCAGTCCAAAAACCTTTACTGGTGTTAATGCATTATTAACATGTTCATTTTAAAAGCACTAACTGGATTATATAGACTGATATCTGAATTTTTAGCTGCTTGATGTCAAAACAAAATGTTTATACCAGTCAGGCCCTCAAATAAGGCAAATGAGCAGGTTTTGGCTGAGAGTGAGTTGTGGTTTGAGAGAGCACAAGTTGACTGCATGCTATTCTCTCTCTCTGTGCCTGAAATCTGGCCTTGCCTCTGCAGTTGAGTCACCCACTCCAAATCTCCTGGCATTCCACAGGATAGATAGACTGTGTGAAAACAGCAGGAAACCAAATGTATTATCTAATGCTGGCAGTAATGAAACGATTCTGTCAAGACCTTATGAATTACATCCCAGCTTAATCATTTCAGTTGCCACTTATGACGTAAAATCTTATTGACTGAAGTCTGAAAATGAAGATGATTATCTTGAAGAGGATGGTAGCGAAGGAGTGCAAGAACCGAAGTATGCACATTAAGTTTGATCCAAAATGGAATCACATTGTATAACCACCACCATGTTTTATTCTAGCTGAATCAGTTTTCTTCATAGACAACAATTTAGATGTTCTGATTAAAGAAATGTGTGGCAATGTTGACACCTGCAAGCTGCAAGTCTGAAGATGACTCAGGTTTAGCTGTAACATGTAGTGAAATTACAGTACATGCTAATATTATGAGTACATGAGTATATGAATTTGATGTCTTTAGCTAGTCTAAATTAGCACATTACCTATAGATTACAAGAATGTGGTTTGTTTTTATTTAAAAGTCTGAATTTGTCCATTTTTTCTTTTCTTTCTTTCTTTTGTAAAAATCACAAGAAGGTGATTGTCGATGTTCTTCGACTGTGTTCTGCTCTCTTTCTCTCAGTGTGCTCAGCTTAATTTTGGTTCAGCCTGCTCAGAGGTCTGCCACTAGATGACATCCATACAGATAGCATTACTGGTTAAAGTGGAAGGAAAACAGTGCGAGGGCATTTGTCCCATGGACTCCTTCCTGTTTTCCTTTCCCAGTGCAGGAATGGGTCCAAAAGCAGCCTGAATGTGTTACCCTGACTGTAACTATGGCAGCCTGAATCTGGTCCTGCTCTCTTGCCCCATGCTGATGCAGTGCTCATCCCTCGACCAATAGAGTTGACTGATGTGACTCATTCTGGGCTAGTGAGCCAACAGGGTTGACTGATGGTTCCTTTTTGTAGCATGCCAGCCAATGGCTGCTGATTTGAGGCTCCAGAGTTTCTCTGAAAAGAAAGGCCCACTCTCTGGTTATATCTAGTCACAGAAAATGTCAGCGTAGGCTTCCACTGAGGGACTGCGTCTGTGTGCTGGCTGTGTGCGTGTGTGTTTATGTGTTTTGCATGTACGAGTGGGTTGTTTGCATCTTTAAGATGCTCTCTTGGCAGGGGGCAAGAAGAGGAGTGCACAGATGTTGCTTTCAGCACTGTATATCTGAGGAGAGGAGCTGAAACAGAAGAGGGCCAAGTACATGTCCTTGAGGCACACCAAACAGAACTATCATTGATTTCAAAGAGACCAGTGCAAGAAATGCTTCTGAAATATGATAATGTTAGATATTTAACAATAGAAAATGGAAAAAAGATGGAAAATTATGTGAGGCAGATTTGCCTGATGGATTTTGGATTGATAAAATTTAAAAGTGAACTGACTTACCTTACTTCTAGTTGCTAGTTAATGATCACATGTAGTAATACGAAGCTTGATACTAATGTACAATGCATATAACATTTGCTAAGCTGACTTAATTTTGTGCTGTCTGATTGTAGACTCATAATACTGATGCATTGTTCATCAACAATAATTAGAGAATATTAGAATACAGTCATTTTCAAAGTAAAAATTATTTAATCATTAAAAATTGAAGATTTTGTAAGGTACTGAACAGATAACAGGTGTGAGTGATGAGAATGTGGTGACAAGGCAGAACTAATGGTCAGCAGGCCAGCAAAACCAGGTGTTGATAGGCCACAGTGACATGACCCTTTTTTCTTTTGGGTGCAAGATAAGCTGCATCCTTTTAAGATCTTATGAACGTGAACATATGTTCAACGCAGGCTACCAACACCAGCAGACATTCAAACAGCTTGTCTACTGCTTATGTCACTGTGACTATCTTTGTCTTATACCAGTGTTTACTGTACTTTAGTGGACTAACTTTGGAGAGTTTAATTTGTTTGGATTTTACCCTCCTGAGTGCAGTGTGGGTGGGAAAGTGACTGTGTCAAAACCCAAATACACCCTAGAGAGAACTCCCATCCAGTTTCCTAAGCTTATTGTATCATAGAAAAGAGTTATGTGACTATAGCAAGTAGTCATCCTGATCAAAGTGTTAGCAGCTGTGTTTTTTGCGCACAGAATTCAGTTTAGTGATACGTAAGTAATTAGAAGAGTTTTGAAGTCTCACGAGATGATATTGCAGGCTGTTGATGCCACGCCCTCCTGATGATACAGCTGCATTTTTTAATCATAGACATTGCTTCTCCTGCTTTTCCCCTCTTCCGTATCTTATATTAATAGTCAAACCTTATTCTCTGCTGTTATTGTTTGCTATCTGGTGTCGACAAGAGGAGGATAGGTTCCCCTTTTGAGTCTTGGTCTACGTTTCTTACTGCTGCTCTTAGGGAGTTTTTCCTTGCCACTGTCGCGTTTTTCTTGCTCATGGGGGCTTGGACCTGGATTTTTTTTCTGTAAAGCTGCTTTGTGACAATGCCTGTTGTAAAAAGTGCTATGTAAATACACTTTGACTTGATTTGACTTGACTTCCCTTTACCATATTCTTATCTATTTTGCTTTTTTTTTTTTGCTTTTTTGTATAGTATTTTGTAAAGCTGTCTGGTGATACTTTTAAAGTGCAGAAGACACTATACAAGTCTACGTAAGTTGAGTTGAGACTGATGTGTTCTCAGGGTGTAATTCTGTAAAGATAATATAATTAATATAATAACTTCACTTTTCTCTTGTGTTTATATAATTCTCTAATTTCCCTTCTTAAGGTCTTTTTGAGTCTGAGCTGCCTCTCCCAGACAAACCTCCTCCTCACTCCCACTGTGTGTAATTCTCTGAGTTTGATTAAGTCATTAGGGTTGCCTGGCTACAGTTTGTCACAAGGCCTTTGCCAGGCTGGGAGGCAGCGGACAGTGCTAACTCGATTTATATTGCTCCCTCCCATTAAGATGCTCTGAAATGAGTATTCTGAGAGAGTAATAACACTGTTTCCTGCCTATGCTGTAAGAACAAATGTGTGTCCTGTATGTGGAATGTAAACCAAAATGTGTTTTTCATTGTATAACACATAACACAGTTACATGTACAGTCATTATAAATTATACATGAAGTTATTAATACCTTTAGTTGTCCATTTATTAGCTTTCCCTGGATCAAGTCACCTGTTTTGGAGGATCTTGCGGCTTCTTTACAAATAAAAAAAAACTGCATATATGTTTCATGGAAAACCTTGCATTTTTCAGGCATTCTCATCTGTCAAATCTTTTTTTCTAGGCTGAGTTTTCAGAGGTCAACCTGGCAGCCAATGTCAATGCTGGGTGCACGGTCGACATCCAGGTTACACGAGGAGGCACCAAAGTCGTCAGGTAAATACTTCAAAAAAAAGATTTAACGCTTGTTTATAATATTCTTAAGATCATGAATATGTGCCAGCCACACAGGTCTTCACACAGGTACGCTTTAGCAGATTTTAGATTACCCCCGCTAAAATAATGCTAATCTTGCTGGTGCCCCTAGGGGACTTGTAATATTAAATTAACATCAGCAATGCATTTTATGCCATCTCTCACTTAAACATGGACATTTGACGCTTGTAACAGATGTGGCAATCAGCAGCAAATTATAATAGCCTGTACAATCCTGTTTTCTGTAAAAGGGAAATATACGACATCCAAAACAAAAAACTTTTCTTTTTCATGTTTTATTTCTTCCATTTGAAAATGCCAGCTCCCTTTTACATTATGAGACCATTTCATGATGATAATAGAAATTGTACAAAATTACTTGGAATAAGGTCCCATTACATTAACATACATTAGCATACAATTTAGATTAAGATAGTTAATATATAACCATTTAAGAGGATATGTATATACATAACCATTAAACTCTTTAAAACCATTTAGCTTGATAATAAGTGTTTTTGACAGTAAAATCACCATATATCATTGGAATAGATGCAAATTCATTGAAATACACCAAAAAGTAACAAGAATTTCTTGTTTTCAAAAAAGTAGTTTATATCTTGTGAGCTACTTGTATTCACACAGACACTGGCCTGTATTCTACACTGTGGAAAAGTTAACACTGGACACTTACATTATCCAGTTGCTGTGTATATTTTGGAGCTGAGCTCATAATTGGTTAATTTAATAAGCTAATATGGTGCTTACTGCAGAAACTCTGTTTTTCGCAGTGTTTGCTACTCTGTGACTGATTACTCATCTTTACAGGGTCATGACGCATCCTTCTTGTGCTCACTATGAGTAAAAGCCATAATCAGAAACTCGAGAAAGTGGCAAAGAGTTTGTCTTTTAGTCCTATTAAACACTAAAAAGAGCATATAAATAAATAAAAAACTGTCTAACAGTTCTTCTGCATGTATTTTCTTGTGTGAGTGTGCCATCGTAAACACTTGCATACATAGACACATATGGTGTTTTTTCTTCATACATTTTGTTATCATTTCCACTGCCAAGCGAACTGTAGCATAATGTAGTACCCATGAGGAATTTGGTCATCTTTCTTGCTCTGAACTCTTACAGATACTCGATTTCAAAATTAGTTGGGATATAAGTACCAAATACAAACATATACATGAACATGTCATACACACACAACTACCCGCTTATCCATGTATGTAAATATCAGTTTTTCAGATCGTTATCTCCATCACCTATCAGTGTCCTGTTAGTGTATTGCTGTTGTTATTGTAAGCATCACTGTAGTTGTTTCTGCACTGTTATTATGGTTATTACTGTTAAACTTAATACAAAAAAACTGCCCGTAGAAATATGAAGCTTTCCTAACAACCGCATTGCATTAAACAGAATTCACTTCATCCAAGGTAGCATTTTTTTTTCATACTGTTTCATACTGTGAGCTACAATGTTTTTTATGAAGATTTTACACAAATCTATACAGTCTGTTCTTTAAGCATTTCCTGGTCATCTTTACATAGGATGTGCACAAAGTGCGATCTACCTGAATATTTCCCAAATGCACAATGTGTTGCAGTGGTTTCTGGAAAAGACACTTTTAATCAGCCATAAGTAGGGAACCCATTATAGCCACTATTTATATCTGAAAGGATCCGTGTATTTTTGGACTGAAGACAACCTTTTAACCTAGTATAGATTGGAAAAAAAGTCTAAATCATAGGGCTCAAATGGAAGATTTTCAGACAATCCAGTGATAAAAATATCATCTTAACATTAGCTACTGACATTAGGCAATTAGAGTTGCTACATAAACTTTTCTCATGCCCCCCACTCCACGGACCATCCTAAATCACACTTGCCCAAGGATTAAGTGGCAGCTGAGTACACATTTGAAGCCACTCTAGACTCTTGAACCGTATACCCCAGTGTTCTCCACTCACTGTGCTATGTTGTAGTGCTGTTGCAGATGTTACAGTAACTAACTAAATGAAGGGTGGGCATCGGACAGTTTTGTTTTCCATCTGCTACTTTTATGAAATACAAATGTGAACCTCTATGTCTGCGCCTACAATTACTACAATTACATTATTCAGTATGAGTGGCTGAACTCACCCTATTAAACCTCAAAATTATCTTCTGGCCCATTTTTTTCCTTTCTGTTAAGACAGCAAATGCTGGGTGTTATATCATTTATGCCAACGACAGGGGTGTACCCAGGTCTGTTAATTGTTCCAGGTGCCAGTGTTTCGGACAGGTCAGGGAGAAAATGTTCAGGCCAACAATTCAGTGAAAAGTGTTATGATTTAAAGGGCTGTAAAGTGGGACAGTGTTGTATTTGTACTTGTATTTAAGGTTAAATAAGTATATTATACTTTACTGCTACAAAACACAAGTACCGTAAGTAAAAGTAAAGTGGCCTCTCCGCTGGACTCAGGACTGCGGGGCTCAGGACTCCACAGGGCGTCCACCACTCCCTCGCAGTTCTCCTTCTCTCCCTGCTGTCCTTGCGGGGTTTCGTCCTTGCTCGGGGTCCGCGCCGCCTTCCTGCTGGCTCTTGTTGCTGTCATCAGGGCCCGGGGGACAGGCGCATGGCACAATGACTTTAATAAACAGCTTCTGGGTGTGTTAACTGCTGCTGTCTTACCTTTCAGTGTTTGCCGATAAGTATGTAAGGTGTCACTAGACGGCCCTGTCAGTCTTTTAAACTTTTAAATGTATTTAGTTTATCACTGCCACAAAGATCCAGTAGCTTTTTATGTAATCCCTGTCAAACACGAAACAGCTGGACAAAGACACTATAAATAATTTCAATAAGTCAACAAAGTAATTTTTTAGTATTAACGTTTTTTAATGCGTTGTATACGGTAGGACCCATGATTTCATACAGTCAGAAAAACGAATGAGTATGAAAATAATGTTGCAAGCATAGCTATTCCTCATACACATTGTTAATCTTGCTTACCTTCATAGGCTCTGCTGAACAGATCACGGGCCGTTCCAGTTTACTACTATAGCAGAACTCTGTACAGAATGAACTGGATAATCTATGCTGTGTTCGGCCCAAATGCAGATCCATTACATCAGTAATAAACTGGTTATGTTGACTGCTGATGTCAGTGACACCAATGGGCAGGACAACGGCCTCTCAACAGGTCATGTGTTCTTTCTCAGAAAGTAGAGAGAGGCAAGAACAACTTGAATCCATGACTGTTGACATAAAAATGTAAATGGCATAATAATGTAAATATCTGGTTTCATAACGGTTTAATACTCAAAGAATTGGAGAGAGGACATTTGTTTAGATGTGGTTTACATGATTTGAGCATGAAGACAAATTTTAAATTATATGGAGTTACTTCCTGAGGTAGTGAGCTTTCTAGTGAGATTGAGCAAGCTAACATTCTAACTTGTGTCGACAACTGATGGGTTATGAAAAAAAAACAAAAGCATAAAAAGCAGAAGTTTGTATTTTAGTCTCAATGTAAGCCTCACTGTGTAACAGCAAACAGTGTATGAGATTGTTCCGGCATGGCCAGAAATTGGTGAGAAAAAGTGCAGGTGGACATGTAGAATCACATATATTGGAATATTTTAAAATGATCAGAATGCACATCCTGATTACCGATACACACTGTGTGAAGTTTCTTTCAGTGTCATTTTGAGTCTTTTAGCTTAGAGTTCCAGTACTCGGGAAACATGATTTTTTCAGCTAGTTATCAGTGACTCAATGCACTCTTCACATTGTATTGGATCCTATGAAACGCCGCTCTAGGATATTAATGTTTCATGCCTGTAGTGTTGACCTAATGAAATTTATCCCACCAAGACACAAATTTCCGCATGTGCTGCTGATTATGAGAATTGAAATTTGGCGTGTCACACACTCTGTTGCGGAGCTTGATGTATGTTCTATTTTTCTAAACCAGATTTATTCTCGTTTATTGAGTGCTGATATGGAAAGGGAGAGTGATGATTTTGACTTTGGGGTGGAATTATGCTTTAATGGGGTCACAGCACATGAAACCAACATCCCAGTTGATTTGCCAGCCCTGCAGCTCTGCCTGTTCTTCCCCCACTAGTCAGACAGAGCACAGCGCTGCTTTCATGGTCATGTGCCAGTGCACTGGGAATGCCACATCTAAACCACGCATTTGACCCTATTTCGATGTTGTTTCTATTTCTACCCTCGCTACCCTCTCTTCCCAGAGCCAGTTAAGCCAAATCACAGCCTTGGACGCTGTTTTTGCCATCACAGCAATGAGGCTTAATCAACCACAGTGAAAGGGAAGGCATTTGCGCGCTACTTCTGCCCAATCATGCTTTGTGAGTATTTAAAGGCAGTAAATCGTGGTGGTAATCACCTTAATGGGAAACACAGAGCATTGCCTGCTATTCTGGCAGTATTAACCCTTTAAAGGCAAAGCAAAAAGCAGCTATATATTTACTCTTTTCTTTTAATAATGATTTATTAAACCACTCTGGATGACTTTGTTTTTCATCTTAATGATTTAATTATACAGAAATTGTGAGAAGTGGGTGGAATGGGTGGATTTAAAGAAAACTACCAACAATAAATTGGATAGCATAGGGTTAAAGAAACTCACTCAGTTCCATTATCTGATTACAAAAGTTCCCATACATTATTGTGATTGTGGATGGCCTTGTAAGAAGTTTTTCACATCCAAAACAGAGTTTTGTTTTAGAGGTAAATTTCTAAGTAGCAGGTGAATGTTCTTAGATTGTTCTGCATGACGGAGCTAGCCTTTACCAGGTGGAGTTCACGTCAGCTTCCCCATATGAAGAGGCAGAGAGGAGTCAAAGGGAGTGAAGGGCTGTTATGCATGACAGCAGCCCCTGTCTCCCTCCACATTCCTCCCTCAGCCCGGCTCTAGATGAGGGAAGCAGATTGCAGTAGCGGCGCCCCTTATTTTTCCAACCGCTTCACATTTGCTGTTTTGTAGTTTACCTCGCCTCAGCCAGCCAGAACTGGATCCACTTCTTGATAACTTTCTGTTAGCTTTAGCAGTATTAGAGCATGATTAGTTTTACGTGGGGAGCTGTTATAATTTTAGAGACAAGAGTTGTGAATGTGATTCGGTTCAAATCTGCATGGTTTTTACAGTCCAGTAGTAATAATTCTAGAGTGACTTGGCTGAACCTGCTCATCCAGTGTGAATTGACCTGACGCTTATGGAATAAAACCTCTGCTAACAGACACGGTTGTTGGTGAGTGTGGCCCCTGACGCATAATGCTGACTTGCAAATCCAGGATATGACTGTAGAACCCTTGGTAGACCGAAGGGAGGACACAGAAAGCAGGTGTGGCACTCTAACTCTAACTTTGAACTTTTCAGCTTTTTCTCTGGCACAGCCTCAGCGTTTGAGGGGTTCTTCTCTCTCAGGTTTGCAACACCTACTGAAAAAATCAGTCTTTAGCCATCTACCAAGTGCATCAGCGATTGGTTCACTGAGACTGTCTCTTTATCCCACAGCCCAACCACGTCTCTGCTGCATCAGTGACCTTTCAGTCCAGATGAAGAAAATACTTCATCCAATATCAATCAGTCAGTCAGACTGCTTACAAATTACACTACAGAACTTCCTCTCTGACAATGAAAACAGCTTGAGTAGAGATTGAGAATTCTCTCTCTGTGGGCCTCAAACATCATGTAGGTTCCTGCTGTTTCAGACAGTACACCTTTTGTAAAATTGGAAATGAAAATCGATCGAACAAGGAGGAGATCGCTTGGAGGAGACTGCCAATTCTGTAACCTCAGCTAACAGACAGTAAAGCTAAAGTTGAGATGGAGAAGAGGGAGAGCCATGCTGCACACCCAGAGAGAGCAATGCCAGTTATTTATGCCCTCACGGACTCCTGGCCACGGATGACTATGGCATCACCAGGCATCAAACTTGCAACCTCCCGCCACTCTGTCTAGGCCTAACACTCTAGTTCTCTTCATCAAAAGAAATAATGTAATTCCATCCATCCATCGTCTAAACCGCTTATCCTTCTGGGTCGCGGTGGGGTGCTGGAGCCTATCCCAGCTGTCATTGGGCGGAAGGCAGGATACACCCTGGACAGGTCGCCAGTCCATCGCAGGGCAGACAGACAGACATACACAGTCACACACCTAGGGGCAATTTTAGCATGTCCAGTTGGCCTGACTGCATGTTTTTGGACTGTGGGAGGAAACCGGAGTACCCGGAGGAAACCCACGCAGACACGGGGAGAACATGCAAACTCCACACAGAAACGACCCTGGTCACCCAGCCGGGAATCGAACCCAGGCCATTCTTGCTGTGAGGCGACAGCGTTACCTACTGCGCCACCGTGCCGCCCATAATGTAATTCCAATGTCAACAAAAAGAAGACAAAAGCAGTAACAAGTACTATTTCCAATTCAAAATGAACAAACAATAGGGTTAGATTTAGGGTTAGAGTTACTGTTACTATGTCAGTGATGCTGTGAGAAAGTGTTGTGTTCAGAATGCATGCAACAGAGTTTGATATGAGTGTGTTCACCTCTAGGCTACAGGATAAATCGTAAATTGACCACAATCATAACATTAAAAACGAAAGGTGAATTTACTTCTTTTTTTTAATTATTAAACTCCTAATGTGCTAATATGAGCCCCAGCAGGGCTTTTGACTTCTGCGACTCTTCCACTCAGCTGACCAGCTCTGTGTGGATGCCTATAGCAGAACCCTTCCCAAAATAACCTCAGTGTTCACCACTGGGCCTCCTCACCATGACACACAACCATCATACAGTCTCCCTTTAACTTTATTTTTACTCCACACAACAGCCCAATTGTGAGAAAGCTGCAAGCTGGTCTTGCGTGCTATTCTCTAGTATTTCTCTTATCTGCATGCCCTGTATAGCAGGAATGGCTATTTAAAGAGAGTGGAAAAATCACAATGTTCTCAGTTTATTCATGCACAATGTGTTCTAGAGCACGTTTTGGACAGAAGCAGTGGCCCTCTGGGATATCTATGTCAATGTACAAAAGGTTGAATAATCTAACTGGTAGTGAATAACTGTTGGTACGGGGCATTTGGGAAACAAAGTCTGATTGTTACTCGACCTGCTCTCTGGGGCAAGGGAAAGGTTAATGATGGAGAAATTGGATAAAGCTAAAGGTAAAATGACAAAGAGGTGGTTACTGCATCAGTGACGTTTAGAGGCTTACTGATTCACTCAAATTTGCTGTTGTGTATTGAAGGTCTCTCTTTCTCTCTCTCTCTGGCCTTCTTTTCTTTATCAGTCTATGCACCTATTTGGCTAGCTATCTATGTGGTTAACCATGAGACTGACACCAAGAAGATAGAAAGAGGCAGAGAGATATCTTGTAACAGGCAGAGGAGGCTTTTGTAGTCTCTGTCAACCTCAGATCTGATTTCTGTAGTTTGACTCACATTTGTATGTACATTTTTGAGTATAATTAAGAGAATCAAACGGATAAACAAAATGTGTTGATTAAACTTGTTGATTAAATATTAGGTTGAAATAAGCTGTTTTCATTGTGTTTCAGCTTTTGTGAGTTCCAGACATTAGATGGATGATAAAAAGAAGTTCTTCATGTCTGTTGAAAGATGCCTCCATGAATGAGGAACTTGGAGGTCATTTTCAAGTCACTTGATTGACAGAATCCTGATCTTGATTTATTTAATCACTGAACTGTTGATGAAAATCTAGACAAAACATGGAAATCCAAAATAGTCTCTATTGCAGAACGAGACGCAACATTCAGCAGTTGTTGTTGTGTGGGGGGGGGGGCGTCATGGTAGATGCATACCTCCTTGCAATGTGGGTCTGCTTTTTTGCCCAAGTTTATCTTAATCAAACCCAGATGTAATACAACACTCCCAAATCCCAGTGGGCCTGCCTGGCCCTGATCCCAGAACAGTTTGTAATGAGAAGGATTAGTGGGCGTTAATTAGATAGATCGGCCGGAAAGATTAGCTCTCTGAAATACACATCAGCTCTCCTCCCCTTCACCCTCCCTTCCTCATCGCCTTCTGAATAATGGAGTCGTTCACTGTAAACACTCAGCCAAAACGGAATGTGTTAGTGCCGTGACAGATACTATCTGGACAGGTCAGTTTGAAACATTACAGCCGCTCTGGTGTTACTCTTTTGTAACATTTTGTAACCGTTAATTAGAGTTAGAGCTGCACAATATTATGGAAGAAATCATTGAAATATTTTAGGTTGCAATAAATGAAAAACAACAAAACCAAAATAAACCTGTTCTCCAATTGAGCTAGTCATCACTGTAGCAGTAGAGCAGTGGGTTAAGATGGGACATTAAGGCAGTAGTTCAATACTCTTTTCAGGACCCAACAATAAGGATAACACAGCATATTGCAGTTTCCAAGTAGTGTTAATAGGGAGTTTGTCCACCCTTTGCTGCAGTAACCTCTCTTTGCTGTAGGAACATTGCTGTGAGGATTTAATTGTATTCAGCCACAAGAGCATTAGTGAGGTCAGGTACTGATGATAGATGATTCGTTCTCGATTAAAAACGCCACTCTAACTCGTCCCAAAGGTACTGGATGAAGCTTCATCACTCCAGAGAACATAGTTCCAATGCTCCACAACCCACTGCTGGGGGGCTTTACACCACTCTAGCTATTACCTGGTATTGGACATGTTGACCTTAGGCTTATTTGCAGCTAGTTCCATTCTATTGGCAGTGCTTTTCTATGGCGATTATACAAGCTGTGAGTATGCAGGTGAACACCTGTATCAGCAATGGGTGCACCCTAAAGTAGCTAAAAACACTAATTAGAAGGGGTTTATGGGGTATTTGGACGTTCTGTAACTTCCATAATATTGAAACGTGTTAGTGAACTCTATTCCTTGGTGTGATGTGGTTAAGGACTTCATATCATACACACACATATATATAAGTTATGTATGATGTTGGATTACGAGATGCGAGATTCATCTCAGGATGCTTACAGCACACAATAAACCATTCAGCGATTGCACTTCTGCAATACCAGTGTTGTGAAGCTCAGGGTCAGCAATAATTAAAGTGAACATAAATGTCCATGTTTCGACAGGATACTTCTATTATTGTAATGTTTTTTTCTTCGCAGGTCTTTCAAGCCAGACTTTGTCCTGATTCGCCAGCACGCCTTCAGTATGACCCCAGGAGAGGACTTCAGAAGCCTTGTGATTGGGCTGCAGTATGGAGGCGTAGCTAGCATCAACTCCCTGCACTCCATCTACAATTTCTGCAGCAAACCCTGGGTTGTGAGTGATGCTTCGGTGCTACTGTCTTTTGCTACAGAAGGTTTTTTGGTTACTTACCACACTCACTAATAGACCAGGGGTGTCAAACTCGTTTTATGGGCACATTATACAGCCACACATTACATTGGGCTAAAATCAGTTTAATAGGCCAACAACACATCAGCTTCTCATAAATGTGTTCATTTTGTCATCCATCTAAAAGATACATTCTGACTGAACAAACCGATTGCAAAAATATCACCTACAAAACAGATTATACAAGCAGACTAAAGTTAGTTGGTTCAGCATTGGTTGCTGAGGATATGTCCTCTTTTACAGGATGCTTTTAGCAAACCTCTTAGAATGCAAAGGTTTGCATGTGTGCACATAAATTAATAGTTATCTTGAAACAGATTGGTTTAATCAAATACATGGGAACTACACAGTCCTGTTTATTCTCTTTTAAATTAAACTGATTTATTAAACTGTCAACAGCATGTCAGCAGCTATGTTAAGAAAGGTTTAGCTTACTTTAGAGCCAGCATAATGTTGTCTGTTTATAGTTTTGAGATTCTGCTGTGAGTTTGGTCATTCAGAGTTCATCTCAAAACATTTTCAGCTTCAGGGGTGAAATTTTAGCATAGTTTAGTTGCTAAACAGTGGATGAGTGTCCTGTCAATTCTAAAATCGGTCAATTACGGTCCACAAGGTGGTTTTAATGTAGAACATGAACTGCATCTTGTAGGCTGGTTAGGAACCACAGTTGGGCGGTTTTGTTCCACGGGCTGTATATTTGGCACCCCTGTAATAAACGATAGATGCTAGATTTAACTGTCCAAAATAGGGCTGTACGATATGGACAAACACTAGTACTGCAATTATATTGTTTCATGTTACAATTGTAAAACCTTGCAATATACTATAAACACTTTAGTGTATCATAATACACATTGATAATGTGACAAGATAGGTGTGTTAAAGATTGGCCTGCATTACTTTGACCCAAGGAATTTACTTTTGTAGGAGTGCACAAAAACCTTGATCTGTCAGAACACCCACAGAAACACTTACCTAGTACTGTGTCAAGATTGGTCAGGATGCTCACAGCTTACAGTAAAACATTTATTGGGTTACAGGGCTCATTTGAATATAGATGCAAAGATGCAAAGGCCGATATCACAATAAAATTTAACAAACCATGTATTGTGCAGCCTTTGTGCAAAGCTTTCAGTACATAAAATGTTATGCCAGGCAAATCTAACAGACCGCAGCTGAGAGAAACATTTCCCTGCCCTGCTAAAATGCCAGCAAACACAAGAACAAGAAGAGTGATGTTCTTAAGGACAGCAGCAAGCACGGATAGTTTAGGTGATGAGACCACCTGCTTACAATCTACTGAAGGCTGCTGATGCAATGGTGGTTAAACAGTCTTGGCTTCCTTTGTTTTGGGGCAAAGCCACAGACAAAACAGATCTTAGATTTAGACAAAACATGCTGGGCACTCCTGAGGGTTGGAGGACTGGAGAAGATGGGGTGGGCCCTTGTGTGGGTATGTAAGGGCTTTATTGTGAAATCTAAACTTACAACCTCACATAAACACATCAGAATTTGTTTCTTATGGTATCTAAAATGTCTTAAAATATATTTTAAACATTGAAGGTCATAAAATATCTGAAGTATATAAAAAATATGAAAAATATCAAACAGCTTTATTTAAAATTGTCTGCAGACAGTGCTGTCTATAGAGGCCGCGTTTAAAGTAGCATGGACCAAGCATTTTCAAATCAAAGGTTTTGTCCGTATATTACTGACTATTCAAACATCCAGTGACTCACCAAAGAACTTCAGAACTTCAGATTTTAGAAGATTTCTAAAATTGCAGTGTATGTCTGGCTTTAGATGGCATTCAACTACAGCTCAACAAGCAAAACAAAAGACTCTGAGAAGACATAAAATTCCATATTTGAACTGCTCGGATGCATTAGCCTCAGATGTGATTCCTAATGTCACTGTGCTACAGAGACTGTTGTTGAAAAAGACACAGATGTTTATTTTAATAGCACCTTTCATGTGTGTTTGTCATTTGTGTTTCACATAAAGACAAGATTACTTTTTAGTAAATGCAGTAAATAAGATGTTGTTAGAAGCAGGAATCAACTTCTTAGCATTGTGCAGCATGACACATGATCTAAATTTAGCTATGTTCATGATGTGGAATGTCTTACCAACATTACTGATGTGTGAAGTAACATTGCTATGACTCAGAACTGCACGTTTGTTTTTGTTTCTTTGCAGTTTTCCCATATGATCAAACTCTACCATGCCTTGGGTCCAGAGAAGTTCCCACTGAATGAGCAGACATTTTTCCCCAACCACACACAGATGGTGAGTGCCTGGACCTACTGTTCATTGACTGCTCCTCTGTATATGACCACTCAGAGCTCCCAGTCCCAATCCAAGTAATGTTAATTGAAGGCTAAGACTGCAGATTTTCATTGAATTAAGGCTTTGTTTCTTTTAGGTTGTATAGGAGTTGCCTCCTCTTATTATCCATGTATTGATTGATGTACTTTTGATTGATTCACTATACAAGGAAGAACATACAAGAACAACCATGATTTGTTTATTTATAATCTGATATCATGTATATACAAACATCCTGTCCAGTTTAAGACAGGTATTCAAATAGGAATTTCATATGTAAAATATAAACATACATTTTGTTAAATAGGACATGTTCACAAATGTGATTTTCATTAAATCTTTATTATAAAAATATAAAACACAGAAATTAAAAATCAGAACATTTCTGTAAGCCCCTACGGGAAAACGTTCACCCTTAGGAATCGCTGTTTACACACATACACACACACTCACTGTACACAAAGACTCGCCTCATCATTCTCAGCCTTTTTCTCCAAACACGTCCAAGACAGGATTGACTGCAGGGTGTGTTAAGCAGACACTATTTTACATTAGCATGACCCCCATTAAAGTGATGGAGACTATAGTGATCTGGGACTTGAGATGGCATTGTTACTTTAATTCAGTAATTCACTTATTATTGCAGTACTGTAATAAGTGTATTTTCTCCTGGCAGAGTGCACTGCAATAAGCTGAAGACATATGGATAAGTTATGATTCAGAAATAGGTGTCTAATAACTGAACTGTTTTTTGTGTCATCACAACCCAAAACACCATAGTCCCTTGGAGAGGAATGGACTGAAGATAATGCGTATACTCCCCATATGAGAAAAAGAAAAATAGAAAAACAAAAGAGTTTAGTGATAAAAATCAAAATTATTTGCATCTGTTCATTTGAAATATTTTAATACTTTTACATTTACAGAAATACTTTATCCATGGCTAAAACCTCTGTTTATACTGTGACTTTACAATGTTTGTTAGTACCAGCCAGCTAATTTTTTGGAGAGTGAAGTACCATCAATGTAATGCTCATAATCATTGTACAAATACAGTTCTTAACATTGCATCATCTTTCCTTAGAAAATAGCCAGCAACTGTTGGCACTGATGTGATTTCTGGGGCCTGTGGTTTGATATATTTGCACAGGACATGTACCCCTTTTTAAAATACTATGGGGCAGTTTCTCAGTCCAGATAAAAATGGTCCTGCAGTCCAAGTAGAAAGCCAATTGAACATTCTCTGTGATTCATACCTAAAGCTAACTCGGTAGATGTAATGTTTGTTGTAGTGTTGTTAGTGTTCATAACATGTAACAGAGGTTTCAGTCAGGTCATTGTTTCTTAGCTTATATCATAAACAGCAAGAGAAACAAAATAAATTGCATCTATTGCCCTGCTCAAGAAAATAAGTGTTCCCCAAAATTTGTGCTATAAGGTTCATTTTGCTTGTAAAAAATATATATATATATATATATAATCTGTTATTATTTGTGGCTATTAAAACATACATTCTTAATACATGAGATTATATTGCAAAAACGGAACTCTACAGCACAAAGCAAGAGGCAAGCAGAGATCATTTATAAATAGATATCTTACAGCAGAGGTTTTCAAATCTCCAAACCAAATCTGGTCTAGGATTTTGGAATTACTTGTAGTAAGAGTTAATGTAAATGGTTGTCGACTGTATCAAGCCTGGTAGAGGCTGGTTGAAATATCTTTACTTTCCAGATCTGTGAGAGCTGTCATTTGAATACCTCTGTTTTACAGTATACACTGTGGACCTAGGTATACACACATACAATTATTCATATAATGCTAAATCACCATAAAACAATACATCAACATTCCTGCTTTCTGCGTGAGGACCATAAGGTATTGCTTTAATAAATTACTACCTCATATTTGACACTGTCCTCTGATTGGCCATTATTGAGAATCTTTACGTGGGCTGTTTCAAGACGCTATGTGTTGGCACCAAACTTATTCATGGCTTGTGTGTTGGTGCCACACATGTAACACTTATTGCTTTATATCAGAGTACTGGAAGTATTATACCTCTTACATGCGACAGTTCTGCTGATAAAGCGCCAGCAGCATAAAAAGTTGCTTTAGTGCATTCTCAAAAGAATAAGGGGGACACAAGAAATTGCAAAGGGGCTTCACTTAAATGTCCTAGGTGTCATGAACTTTGTTTAGTCTGATTTCTTTGTTTTGACATCTTGTGAGCACTTATATCTAAAACATATCAAAATATCAAAATCATACTTTCAATAGTATGTAAATTATTAATATTAATGGCACGTTTCAATGGCAAGACTTTTCCCCTGATATAACTCTTGTCTCTCCCTTTGATCAGTCCATTTGAGGGCAGTAACTGCTAAATGTGTGTCTCTGTGGACAGCAGAAAGCTGGTAGAGTGACCACAGCGTAACTGGACGCAGTAGAACATGGGTATTGTTTACATCAAAAGTGCTACCACAGGCACCAGTTAAAGTTGGCGTAGTTGGCAAGATGACCTATTTCTCCGTATGGATAACAAGGCAGACTAAAGGGTAATTTATGAAAAGAAATGGGTTTGAGGGGTAGTAGAAAGAAGCTGGGTTTAATAAGAAAAAGAGGGTACGGAAGATGCTAGGAGTGTTCAGGGGTCAGTGGTGTTGATGATGGTTTTGTCGCGCGAGGTCATCCCCCGGTACCAGCTACAGTAGCCCTCTTTCTGCTGGATGCAGGCATAGTGGCGAGACTGGTAACCAGGGTAGCCGAAGTGGGACAGCATGTCCGTCCACAGGCACTCGTTCTTTGAGGTCACAAAGCAGGGCAGGGAGTGGCAAGGCTTAATCTACAGAGAGAGAGGAGCAAGACTACAGATCTGTAGCTTCAAAGCAGGAAGTAAAATTAAGAAGGAGGACGCAGACTCACTCTCTTCATTTCTTACATTTTTGGAGACTACATTTTTAAAACCTTAATCTAGGAAGGTTTACCAGCATTGCTGGGGGCTCATTTATAAAAATGGCAAAAATGTGATGGTAAATGTGACCAGTTTAGGAAACAGTGAGGATTCATTTTACTTTATTACACATGAGAGAAAAGCACATGATAACTTGGGGCACGAGCCATACTTTGGCACAAACTGCAGATGCTGGTTCACTGATGTGCATGAGAATTTGTCAGATTAGCACACCAAAGACATGGGTTTCAGAGTTTCAGTCTGTAAGTTCATGTTTAAAATATTCTACTTAGCAGTTAAAACATTGTCAGGGATTTTCAGTGCTTTCGTGGTAAATTCGGAACTTATGAAACACCATCTTGGTCTGTTTCAAAATTCTTAAGATATAAGATCAAACAAATCTATGCCATTTTTTATAAATGGGGCTCCAGGTGCTTAATTGTCTACAAAAGCAACTAAAATGTGTACATGTGAGTTTGCAATATTCCTTTTTTTTCAACTAAAAACCGTAATTACAGCAACGCTACATTTAAGGGGCATATCAACTAAGGGCAGAGCCGATGAAGCCTTTCATAAAGCATAAGCCAGGTAATTAATTCCCTCAATAAGCTAACGAGAGGTGATAACAAGTTTTTATGTCTGTGTGCTTGCAACTGATCACAGATATTGCTGTGAGCTTCGCACTTAGAATTTGCTACTTCCTCCAAGTTTGAAGGAGCTCTTGAATGAATGCTATGAATTAAACTCATTAAGCTCTTCTTTGAAAACAGCTACTGCGGATGCAGACGAGCTAAAAGAGTTTCATTATTTGCATATTGTGCTTAACAGATGTAAATGCCAATGATGAATCACATTTAGATTTTCAGAGAGATGCTGAAGGTGAATGAGAATAAAAAAAATGCATTAACAGAACAGACCAGTTTCTAAAGTGTAATTTCCAGATGGATTATGAATAGAAGGCTAAATGCTTGTCAGCTGCAGAAATGTTCAGCAACCGTTCTTGTAGAACGCTACTAAAAATGCCTTACAAGGACATGTTTCTTCACACACACCTGTGTCCAACTCTTTAAAAGGACTCATCTATGCCAGAAGGCTCGTGTTAAGACAGGCAGAGGCTCTGATAGAAGGGTGTTCAAAGAATATGTGTGTGCTTTAAAGCTGGTGTGATGATATGCATGTCCTGGCTTAGAAGTTACATTATTCAGATGCATTATTTGAGCAGTCTGTGTAACATTGAGTTCTTTGTGACTCAAACAAAAAAATCTGGGCATGTGGGATTGGCATGCAGAAGCCCTGAATAATAATTTGCTAAAGAAGAAGTCGTAAGTCAAAGCCAAGTGTAATGATATGGTATGAGTACCAGTAAAGTATGATGCAAGCATTGAGCTAAGAAGAGTGTGGATAAGCCAGTGTGTGAGTACACATTCATTCTCACACGCACGCAGGTTCTTTACAGGTTCTTAACTTTGGGGCTTTAAGGGGTGTTTAATTGTAAATATTTCTCCATTTTTCCACAAACTAGATGATCAACATGTGATATATCACAATTAGTTTTTCACACTTTGTTTGCTCGTTGGTGACCTAGTCAATGCTAGCAGCACATGTCTAGTGTAGGATTTCAGAATAAAGGCAAGAAAGAGTTTCAGTCAAATATCTGATCAGCCATTAGGGGACAGGTCTCACATGCAAGTATGTCCTCTTATCCTGGGATTAAACTGACAGGGAAAGTAATCATGGTCTGGTTAAGTGCTTTTATAGTTCCTGTGGAACTATATATCTTCCATTTACCTTACAAGCTCTGACATCTCTATCTACATTTTCCATAGTACAGTCTAACCCACATGTTCAAATGCAAGAAGTGCATGGGTTGAGGGCAAAATACAGGGAGCCATCCCTTTGGCAACCAGCCAAAGGTGGCAGAGAACCACCAATTTGATCAGACTGCTCAACATCTGAACTTTGAAATCTTTTACAAGCTCTTTGCCACTGTTATTAAATTACCTAGAATGAACTTTTGTTGCATACACTAAACTGAGTGTAATCACTTTGCCTTCCGTAAAGGAGAACTTTGGTTCACTGGTGTACAACTAGCTAAGACATTGTGTTCAAGTGTATGTGTGTGTGGCAATCTATGTTGAAATGCCAGCATATCAGAGTAGTGTATTGTGTTTGAACAAAAGTCTGTTCCTGGCTTTACCCCGGCCCCGGCGCCTGCCCCTGCGACCAGTACTGAGTGGGCGGTCGCTCTCCTGCCCTGCATGCCCCAACTCCTTCAGCCCTGGTGCTGCACAGCCGCCACCACTCACCCTGCAGTTGCAGCCCAGCTGGTAGCGATGGTTAATCCCTTTCTTCTGGGCGAGAGACAGACGCTCCCACCTTTCATTGAAGTTACACAGCCCTGTGTAGACCTTTCCATCATAGACACGACCTGTGAAGTCCCAGAGAATACAGTTAAAATACTGAATATGTATACTAATGTTCCATTAAACATCCAGCAAAGTCTGAATGGGAAAAAAAGAATTTAAAATATTATGAAACATTGCCCAAAATACAGATGAACCTGCTGATCAGACCTATCTGAGAACTAGAGTGTGGCCTAATTCCAATGAGCATGCTTAATTGGCATCCACCTGTCCAAGACTCTCACCTCTCCACTCAAGCAGAACTATACACAAAGGCAGGGGGTTGGGAATATTTGGGAATATTCAGTTGTAGAAGTACAAACCTATTGATTCTGATTTAAAGAAATGGACAGATGTTTTACCACCAGCACCACCATGGGTAGTAGGAGCAGTAGGTTTTTCTTAGGTAGTTAATTGTAGACACACAAGCTAATCTCTACTATTTGTGTGTTGTGCTAGCAGCAAGCCAGCAGTGGTATGCATTCAATTTTCAGTTCTTTCTCCTGCTAGGTTGCTCAGACTCAAAGGGAATGAGACAGAGATCAAGAACACATAGTTAGGATGAGATTAGAGCTGACCAATTTACGTCAAAACTAGACATTTTTTTTTATAAGGCATACGTTGTACATGCAATACTAAACTATGAATGCAATCAGGTTTCTTGGGGAGACTTATTGTTGCTCACTGTATTGAAGGGTGAACATCTTCAGTTTCCTAAAAGGTTCTTTAACACTGTCCTCGTATCATTTCTACAGAAAGAGTAGGCACGCTAGCTCTCAAAGACATAGGATTGAGTATTACATGCAGCATATTTTTATGCATTTTATAATCAGTATGTTACATAGATATGCAGTATTTAGGTCATAGGGGTTTAAGGCCTGTTAGCTATGGTAAACCAATCTTGCACTGTGCCATTAGATTAAACTGCCTCCCTCTATATCTTGATTCTCCAAAGGTCCTTTAGCAGTTATTTTTAGCTTTTGGCTGTTTTGCGGCTTATCACCTATGACAGGATCCCAACCTCTGCAACAGGTGCACCAGCCCAGCACTGCTTTGGAGCCACACTGGCATGGCAGTAGACTAAGACCATGGCTGTATGCTGTCTCCCTTGTGGTAGCTTATACTTATGGTGAGATTATTTTAGATGCTGGTAGAAGATCTTATCAGGCTCTCGAGTGGTGTGCGCTCCCACAAAGTTTTTCACGTGGGGAGCACACACGGAGCGATCAAAGCAAAACTCATCATCTGGCTGATCTCAGGGTGTTAAAAAAGCTCATAAAAAGAGCTGATACTGGTCTCCTGGGATGAAAGACCCAATTATGGACCCAAACGAAACGCATGCAAGAAGGCTGTAGTGTTGTGTGCAAGAGGGAGAGAGAGGAGGTAAGGCTGTGGTGCATGACGAGTATGTGACTCAATCAAGCCAATCTCCAACAATTAAGGCCTTTATACTATTTGCCATTGCCTTATGTCAGTATTAAACCTACCTCAGATAGCTTCAATTTGTGACTCACAGCCAAATGAAAACTTGTGTAGTTCTGTAATTGACCTGTCCATACTCCACCGACAAGCACTATATTTCCTAGCAACTGTTGGTAGGTTGGAAAAGCGTTACAGAACATTTACAATAATCTTATTCAGCCTAATGAAAAATTTTAGTATATTACTCATTTCCAATGTTTATTTGTATGTGTGTGAAAGGTCACATATACATTGGGTGTAGTTTTTTTGATGTGCAAGCAGGATGACTTTTGTTGTCTTTCCCAACTTTCTAAGTGTAATTTCAATTAGCTATATACATACTCCAGCTCAGTAGCAAAGAATTTTAAACTGAAAACTGAATGTTATATAGCAACTCCAAACAAAGCTGCAATTTCTCATTAAGTTAAATGCCAATTGTTGGTAGCTTGACCTCACGACAGTTACTACAAATTTCTGGGCTGAGCATGGTTAGGTCAACCATCAACCTCAAGTATATTCTTCATTCAGCAGGAGGAGCTTGTGCAAAGGATGTGGCCATTCCACTGCTTTTAACATGCCTTTAACCTGCCCCAACAGAACTTCCTGCAGACCGTTAAACATGTGCAGGGATTTTCTTCATGCTGTGTTGCAGGCCAGAGGAAAGGAAACGGCAGGCCCTGTGTGTGCGCTAAGCTCAATATTGCTCAAGGGGCTGTAAACAGGGGGAAAGTTTGTCACTTGCAGCAATTGTGTGTGCCGCTGGGTGGTTGGGTGGAGGTCTAGTGCATTTAAGCCAAGCAAAGTTTGGCTGCCATTAGCAACTTTGCTTTTGTAGTGTGGGGAATGCATTACCCTGGGTGAAGCAGAGGGCATGCCCACAAATGGCCTGCTACTACTGAGACCTTTAATCACTTTTTAGAGACCGCTACTCTCATTACAATAACAATTTTGTCTTTTGCACTGTATTTCTAAAAGGTGTAATTTCTGATTTTGTAGTTATAAGACAACTTCATACACAAACACGTGCACTTGCTTTATTACTACAGCAGAGATGATCCTCACAGAGTAATTTCACCGAGGCTTAGTCAGTGGTTTAGTAATCATATAGCTTGAACTCACCTGTGATCAGGTACTGGTATTTGTTAAGGTCAAACTTGACTCCACACAAACTCTCCGAAGCATCTGTGTAGATGTGCTGGACATGGTGCATTTTGTTGAATCCTTTGTACATCTATAGGAGGAAAAAGTGAATTAAGCATTAATGTCTGAGTTTTGTGAAAAGTTACCCAAAATTGACCAAAGTTCCTTAAGACCATCCAGATGCATGTAACTGATAACAGGCAGTACGGGATTATTGGTACATGTTAGAAAAAAGCAAAATTACATGTAAGGGCAGAAGACTGTTTCATCCGTGTCTCAAATAAGATTTTTTTTACCTACTTTATTGAGTTCAGGTGAACTAGGCGCCTACAGGCAGAGTAAATGTTTATCCCGAGAATTGTTGTTTTGGCCAGCGTGATTTATTTGTCTAAGGAGCAAAAGGAAATCCCTGCTTAGATGCACCATTTTCAGAAAAATTAGGACAGACTGCGAGGACCAGCCACAGCAAGCTTAACCCTCCAGCGTTTATGGGAAAAACATGAGCTCTGAGCACAGTTCCAGGGAATTTTTTTCTAGGTATTGCAAGTCTTTTGTTGTAGTTAAACTTCAATGAGACAAACAGAAAGATATGTAAATGTTTGATAGCATCATAGCTAATTCAAAGCGCTCTGAAAATACTTACACTTAGCCTACAGTTAGGCTTTTCCTCTGTTGTTGTACAATGGCCTCAGCCTTCCTGACAGAGCCTCATTACAAGGACATTATCTGAATCTAGCAGCCATAGATGTCTTCATACAGAAGACGTGGTGTGGGCCTGTCCTGCAGTCTGCACCTGTTTTAGTCAAGTGACTTTTCTCGCGTTTAGTCATGCACTTGGAATGTGTAGTATTTCGTAATCAAGTTAGCATACATTGCCCTTCCATTTAATGACTGAGTGAACCTGGGTACTTTTGTGTTGCCTGTTTTCCTGTACTTCTAGAACATGGTGTAAGATAGTGCTACAATAGCATTGTAGTAGCGTTGTTGTAGTGCATGAGCAGTTTAATGTGACTTTCTTGTCGTGACAATAGTCCTGTTGACTTGCCTTCATCTGTTTGACTGTGTAGCGCATGGTGCCAAAAGGTCCATCCTTTAGTAGTTTCTTTCCCACCACTTTGGCTCGGATCACTGTGAACAAAGCACATGAGCACGTCCTGGTTAATGTCATACAGACAGCTTGAGTCTCATGCAGAGGGAGCAGTAGCAGAAACCCAGATGCTTCTGATGAAACAGAACAAAGCCAGAACAGCAGTGGTAAACAGATTTAAGTAGCTGTTTTTCCACCAGCTGAGTTCAGGGGTTGGATGAAATGGTAGGAGTGCTGACTGAGGTCACCTTTTGCCTTTTAGAGCCTAATAAAAACTATTATATTGACAAATTCTAGGCAAGCAGTCAGCACTCACATTCTGGATGCATATGAAAATTGCTTTACATGTGTTTATTGAGCGCACAGTAATGAAACTTGGAAGATGGTTCCTTTGCATGGAAGAATTTTGTGTCTAGTTGAACAAAATATTATACATAAATAATTTAGAGTATGGCATGTACTGTTTAAGAATGAATTCAAAAAAGCTAAGAATGAATGAAAATGAACAGCCACCAATTAGCATTTAGACAAATGACGTGCTGATTAGTGGCTACTATCTTTCATTCCGCCTTAGCATGACAGATCAAGCTATTCTTTTCATATGATTATTCAGTCTTACAACCAGGCAAAGAGCAGGCAGTGAATGAGAGCTTTATTGTTTAACTTAGTGTTTGGACATGCAATACCATGCATAAACCAGAGGAGACAGCCATCATGTTTCATGTTGATTTCCTAGATGGGCAGTAAGGTAATAAACAACAAATATATATAACATTGACACAGCTTAAACCCAGGCATATTTTTGAAAATGTAAACTGTCTTTGATATGTAACTTACAAGGTAAATAGAGCAGCATTATCTACTGTCCTAGTAACTTATCTGCAGGGGACTCAGGGCCAGTTTTTATGGGATTTTTAAGGTATCAAGACCTACTACTGTCCAGATTTTGAATTATCAAAATGGAATCTGTTCAAAGGGCATCTCCCAATTTATCTTTCTGTCTGCCTTCCTTTGGTGAGAAACTAAAATGTCTCCTGCGAGAGCAGTGAATGAGGGCATGTCAGCATTACACCATCTTACCATTGACTCCCTCGCTGTGCGAGACAAACCTACATGAGTCAGAGCAGCCTCAACAGCCACAAGACCAAGATCTTATCCGACTGCCTTTCACATAAACAGTAGCAAGATAGGACAAATAGTCAAAACGTCTGTGGCTTGGTTTACGTCTCCTCGCCGACTGGTTGAAATGATCAGATCCCTTTATAAAAGAGGCAGCTAACAGGTGAAGGCTCATTTGTGCCATGAATAAACTTTTCCTGTCGTGCCCGATTCTGCTCCCAAACACCCCCTCCCTTCAGCATTATCAGCTCTTAAACACCAGACAGAGTGTGAAGTTCACCTGCTCCTCCTGACCCAAGAGAAAAAGAGGGAAGAGTCAAGACAGAAGGAGAGGTGACAGAGGAATCTCGCAGCAGCTAAGATGTTTGTTATCTTTCCTCATAGGAATTTCCTTCCCACATTTCCTTAAGACTTGCATTCCTCAGGCTGCTCCCAGGCCCAGAGGGGAGAGAAAGTTCTAGCGTTTTCTCTAGCCTCATAGCTCGTTTTCTCTCTGTCCCCTAAGATCACAGAACATAGTGGCTCTGAAAGCCTCTTGAGACCAAATCACTCATGTTGATCATGACTTTGGCTGTGACATAGGTTATTACATTGGTGTATACACAATAATTAGGGCCAAGCTTGTCTTTTTGAGGATGAAACCTGTCACATTAAACCACATTAAACTTTACAGCTCTACTGAGCATTAAAAGATCCATATTCATACATCTTTTCTTTTCTGTATTAGCCAAACTAGCTAAAAAAGCAAGCAAACAACTGTAATCATCAAATTGTCTTTTCTACTATGTGGTCCCTATTTAAGAGTGAAGAATGCCTTGTAACTTAGCAAACATTCCTAATTTGCACCTAGAGAACAAAGTGGCCTGAGTCAGGACACCCACTCAGCCACACAGCTACTACATGACTAACTGTGGCAGTTGCTTGAATACTTACTGTGTTCAGGCACCTTTGGATTTCTACTACTAGTAGGGCTAGCTTCGAAGAACATTAATTTTGCCCTGTATTCCACAGTCTTAGCAGATTGGTGCAGTCAAGCATCCAAAGGCCAGGGCATGCTGCCTTGAACCCACCCTTCAAACACTGTGGGTCAACTCTTGAACTTGACTAAGACATAAGAGATTGGGACAGCAAAGCCATCTGGCTGCCTGACGGCTGGTGGCAGCGTAAGAGTTCAAAAGCAAGCGGAAAGCAGCAGGTCTGCTTCTGAGACAGAATTTGTGCTTTGCATAATCCATTAACCCTGTTGGGCTCTTCCATCACCACTCCTCCACCAACCAACCCTCCTAATACTCTCTCAAACGCAGCCATAGTTTTCTAATGATCTGTATCACCTATATTAAACAAGTAACTGAACTGTCCACGTATGTGGACACCATATTTGGGATAACAGGAACATTGTGTAAAAATGATTTTCAGTGAACCACACCTTTAAATATATGAAGCATGCTTGATTCTTGATTACAGGATTTTTGTGACAATGATAGTGCAGCTGAAAATTTTAAGTACATTTTGTAATAAAGAAAATACACAGAAACTATCTAATTATAGAAATTAAGATCTGTCATTCATGCTATTTTTTAATAAAAAGAACGCTAAGAACCCAAACTATAATATGTACTCTACTGTATCAACTGCTGTTTCCTACAGTTCATGTAATACATTACTACCAAGAGATGGGTGCATGTTGCTGTATGGCATACATATTCATGCTTCAACAAGTTGAAAATTTGAGAACGTTTGTGTCGTTTTGCTGTGAGAAAGGTAACTGGGTTATGGCACAAACAGAATAAAATCCTTCCCCGCAGAAATGTATGATTCATAAAGGACATGGAGCATTTATATGCTAATCTGACACATAAACATCAAAGTACCATAGCAACTTGGTCAAAAATTCACAAGCTTTTAGCAGTGTTTTTTCTCTGGAGGTTGTAGAATGCAAATTAGTGTTTACGGAAAAAGACAGAAAACACGTTACTACTGTAAGCTGTAGTAAAATAATATCATTGTAAGAATACGTATACTGGTGTAGGACATGTTGCATTTTACATGGTTATGTACAAGTTGCAATTTCACAAAGAGAGTGAACATTCCAGACATGATTTAAGCCAGTTAGATTTCTGTACGGGTGACTGAAAGGGCAGTCGCAGTCTTAATGAGCCTTAGAGTACCACTCACCAAAATTAGTTCCCCAGTGTTACAGATTGTTTGATTGCACTTTGAATACACTTTTGTCTCAGTATATTAAGTAAGAACAAGCAGTATTGCTAAATATTTAGTAGCATTATGAACATTCGATTAAGTCAAATTAGAAAAGAAGGAGCAGGCATACATGGAAAAGGAAATGGCTAACTGGCCACTATTTTGAAACTTATTGTTTTAGGCTGACTGAAAGTCCAAAGCGAATCCAAGTGACCCTGAATTTTACTAGCTTGTTAGTTCCTTATACAATATTATCCTGTATAAATACTTAGTAACACTCTCTACCACCCTACTACCAAGCATCTGGCTAAGACCTGACCTTGTATAAATGTTGTTGCCAGAGACGCTCCTGCATGGTACAATCCACATCACCCTCTGCCCAAAGCCCTTCAACCCCTCGCCCCTCCACCCCCCAACCAGCCTGGCTGGGCTGCTTTGGCAGGATCTTAAACCTCAGCGGCCAAAGTGTAGGGCAAAACACTAATCTGGTGCATAAAAGCCCTCATTGAATAGACCATTTTCAGTCCCGTCCATAGCTTTGCCAAGTGGGTCTGTGTGCAAAATTAACCCCGTTACACCCCAACCTGAAGGTATGCGATGCAGTCATGTAGGCAGGAAATGAGCCTTATTCTAGAAAAGGGGGTTAACTGAGCAAACATACATGAATTCCCAGTACAATTTAACTATAGTTAACAGCACCACAGTGTAATGATGGCAAAACTTCTGGAGTGATCATCAAGAGTGGTGGCCAATAATGAAGCTTTTCAGTGTGTTCTACCCTGGCTTTGTGCTTCTCGATAGGAGGGAATTGCTTAAGATGACATTTATGATTCATCGCAGTGCTGTTGATTACAGAGTACAGGGTGCCTAAATGTGGCTGAGTCATCTTCCTCTGCGTTGCCTTTGAAGTTAAAAGACGAGGCATTTCATAAACACCCAGAGCAAAGCAGCCAGCTGTACGGTGCAATTCATATTTCGTCGTTCTACAAGGAAGAGTCAAGTATCATGTCAATTAAGTTTTTACCTATGCAAGAATCTAAATTAAACCAGATTCTAGACCTCCCTGGAGCACTGAAATCTGTGTGGACCTTTTAATGTTTTAGCAAAGGAGCTGAAATTACAAACAAGCAAACATGGAATTTTTCATATTCGTGAAAAATAAAAGGCTTCCACTATTCAAGCTTGAAAATATCTGAGGGCGACACTAAAACAGCAGTGGATATACTGCATCTTTTTTTTTCCAACAGATGCCTGAGTGAATGTGTTTTGACACGATTACAGCAATATGTTTGCACACGCAAAGGGAATGCATAGATTCTATATCTGCCAATCTCCTTATTTGCTCTTGCCAAAAGATTAAAAAAATAAAATAAAAAATCAACAACTAAATGTTGAAGTACAAGCAAGCTGTGCACAAATACAGCTACAACCTACAATAATTATAACAGTTTCATGCCAACATACAGAATTAATATACTCGAGGATGACGTCCTGCCCGGGTCATCAGTCTGGCCCTGGAGGGCAGGAGACTAGCACTCTGCTGAGTTGAATCAGGTATGTTTGAGAAGGACAAATCACCAAACTGTGCTGCACTCTAGCTTTCCAGGACCAGAGTTAATGACACCTGCTACAGTGATAGGGTTTTAACTGTGGTGGCTCTTTCATCTCCATGCATATCAGACTTAAAATGACATCTCAAGAGAAGACCTGCTGCGTGGTTGATTGTGAATTATCTCATGCAGTGGAAGAAAGATCTGACACTGTTTTAACTGAGGATGCCACACAGTCGTAGGAGTAGAGCAGCGAGGCGGCAACAGATGCGGCCATGTCGCTCAGAAGCACTCTGGGCAGCCGTTCAGAACCAAAGAAGACCTTGAAAAAAGGGATTTTCGCGGGGCTCACCCGCGCCTGCTGCATCTCAAAGAGCCCCAGTTTTTTCAGGGCCAGCAGGATGAGGGGCAGATTAAAGCAGATGAAAGGCAGCGGCTGATCCGCCGCCTATATAAACGTGGCCGAGGAAACCGAGCCCAGTCGGAGCGTACGCGATATAGTGCTTGTGTTACCACAAATAAACGAGCGAGAGAGTGATTGGATTCCCGTCTGTGCTAGCCCAGGGCTTAACAAGAATGCAGTGCTATGTGGAACATCAGTGGTTAACCACAAGGGGGAGATGGTACTTGGAAACACTAGCCATATGTTTAAGAAATGCAGTGCTTCCTGTTTTCTCTGCCATGACCTTTACATTGAGCTTCAAGCATGGTTCACTGCTAGGGCAAAGATCACTTGCAGGCCAAAATGAGAAGAGGGGGAAAATGGTTAAATAGGTTTCACTCCTTTCTAACAGGCTGTCCGTAACTGTAGTCATAGTGGACCCCAATTGTGTGACCTTCTCAGTATCTCCCTCTTTCTTCTTGTTCTATTTGTGGGTCAGTATTGTATGTGCCGTAAAGGATAGATGGATGGATGAATACACATGTGGTCTGGAATGCAGCTCACAATAGCATCTCTTAACCGCCTACTCTTCAGACCTCTTACATTTCTCATCTTGTTTCTCTAACTTCACCATTTTCTCTGGATCCATACATGAAAGAACTGTAGTCATACAATAACATATAATAATTTCAAACTGCATACCACTTGTTAGGGTTGCACCAGTATGGGAATCCTGGGCTGAAATTGTTACCAATACATGAACATTTCTAAAATGTAGAAGCTGAGACTACATCTGTCGGAATAAGCATTATGGAGGAATGTAACGTGTTTGTAGATGGCTACAAATGATGTCAAATTAATAAAATGCAGATATTTTAGAGCAGTGGCCCAGAGCCAGCTACATATTCTGGAGTACAATAAATAAAGCTGTCAAATTTAAACCTCCAGTCCAGTAATTGTTTTAGTTTTCTTTAGGATCCTATAGGAATCTTATGGAAATTCTTGTATTATTACAATAATTCTTTTATCATAAGGGAATGAACTTAGCGGTGGTCATCTAACCTTTCTAAACAACTACTTGCTCTGCTACTTGAATTCTTTGCACCACAAGAGCACCAGCACCAGCAAATTGATGTCTGGATACACTCATAAAGGCAGCTTCAAATCAAGGCTTTATTATTCCGTAGAACAACTGAAAACTTTGCCCCACAGTCCATGTGCTATTTGTCAAAGTCATCGTTCTCCTGATAAGGGAATGAAAGCTGGACTATATCTCAACAGCAGAGAAATAACACCAGGATCAGGGCAGAGCAGACTCCAGCATAACTCCACAAAAATTTGAAAGCATTCTCCTGCTATGAAGGCCATAAAGCAAGGTGTTGCTTGCATAATCATGTGAACTATAGCCACCCTGCTGAAAAAAAATCTGAGAAACTATTAAAAGCTTCTGTTGGTTCTGGTGGTGTCTAGTGGTCACTAATGGTATTCTGTGTTTTCCTGATGGGTTGATATCACAGCATAAAGGATTTAAAAGGTTTAACAGGTGTTCTGATTTTTTCAGCAGAGTAGACAGTGCATAAGGAGGTGGAAATTCCTGAAACGTTCAGCTCTCTACTGTTTTCTACCAGATAAAGTAGCACTGGCCCACAAAGACCCATAAAGCTGCGGTCTTCGCCCAGTTTATTCCACATATATATGGGTGGAGATGTCCAGCTTCTAGTAAAATCACTATCCAGCTAAGTAACAGCCTGCCCACCCTTCAGTAAGTGGTCATTTGTCCAAAAAAACAAAAAAAAAAATCAACACGCAGCCCACTGGGGCTTGTTGCCATGGCTACGCTTAACTCTTACCACGTCCAGTTGCAGCGAAACACTAAATTTCTCCCAGTCATGACCCATTCATATTGATTTTTTGAAACGCATCAAGTTATTTTTTCGTATCGTTTACAGTGTACAGGTGTGGTGAAGTGTTTTAAGTAAGTGACCTGCGTCGTTACAAAAGCCTTTCCTTCAGTAACCCAAGCGCTCAGTGTTGAACACATGCTAGGTGAGCTAACGTTACTCTCCACATGCTGAACGGTCAAACACTTGTCGCACTTTCAAAAACCGAGCCGGAGTTTTAACGAGACAAAAAATTTCAACATGATTTTAAAAACCGAGCCTTCTGTGCTTTTAGAGCTGTCTTAAGAATTTGTGCTAGTAACAGTTAGACCGAGGCTAACGAAGCTAATAAGAAACAAGCTGCTGTTCTCACATGTAAGCGCAGCTGTTATCAGCGCGGTACTGAAGCGGGACTTACCGATGTCGGAGCTGCAGTAGGCGTCCTGAGGGTGAGACAGCGCGCAGGAACAAGCCTCTGTTAGCAAGTCCACACGCAGACTGCAGAAGACCAACAGCACGCTCAGCAACTGGTAGCGCAGCTTCATGGTGGAAGTTTATTCAGAAGTGTCCGGGCTTCGCTCGCGGTTGAGTTTCTTGGTGAAGGTGGAGTGAAAGTCTCCTCGGCTGGTCTGCGCTCTGCTGAGTGCGGCTACATATAGTGGAGGAGCGGGAGACGCCCCCAGCAGCTGCTGCGCGCGCGGCCAATCACCACAGCCCGCCTGCCTATTAAAAATAACAAACGCATGACATATTGGAATGGACTTCAGAAAAAAAAGAAAAAAAGGTTGAAATAGCAATTGTATTTTTTTAATGAAATGAAATAGAAAGAGAACAAAGAAACAGTCGTTTTTTTAAAAAAAAAAAAATCAGTCAAAAAGAAAAAAATAAAATTGGTCAATTTAAAAACTGGAAAAAGTTTGAAAAATAAAACTTAAAAAAATCAACTGTGACGTCAGTAAAAAAATTAAAGTCATTTTTTTAAGTCAAATTATGGCATCTAATGTTTAAAAAAAAAGAAAGAAGCAGTAGAAATTAAATAAATAAATAAATAAATGTGAAAGAGTCATCCCCTGAGGTTTCCCAGTGGTTGGTCTGGGCTGCTGGAGCTGGTCACTATGAGCCAGCAGCCCAACTGGAAAATGCTTGCTTAATGGAATAACACATGAGATGATGCTGTCTGATGTGATTATTTCCAATCTAGATAGACACCCGTTTTCTAAGACGATACAGCATATGGGTTTGTCTTTGTCTTTTGGTGGGTTTGGTAGTTTTGATTTTGAGCCGATGAACAAAAGAACTAAATGTTACATATAAGTTGAATGTTGCTGAACCAAACTGCCAGCACACTATCAAACTACCAAAAGCTTCCTGTGGTGTATGGAATTATTTTGTTAAAAATAATGTTGGGCACAGATCCAAAAAATTACATTTCACTGTATTGTGACAATATAGTAATTCTTTGGAATGCAAAACTAAAACTAACCACATTTCTTTATCATGCTTTATGTCTTGGCACTGGAGGAACATCATCTCATTGAACTTGAAAGAAAGCAAAGAGAACAGTCTTCATAATTTGGCACATTACTGTTACATAAATTCAGTTTCTCATCTCCTACTATAGCCTCTAAAGCCCTAAGAAATAGAGGGCAAGTGCAATAGGGTAAACTTGCAGTGAACAAAACCCCCTAATCCTTCGCAGTGGGCCTGAACACTTGAATTAGTCAAATTAGGCCTAATCCTCTTCTTTTTTCCTCCTCTTGTTTTTTATGTAAGCATTTCACAGAGCAGAGCAGAGATATCGCACTGAAGGCTTGATTCTGCCAGGGTGTTTAAGGTGCCGGGTTGTGTAACAGCAGTGAGAACCAGCCAAGGTACCCACCCTCCAACCCCTCAAAATCAGCATTAAATCACTCTCAGGTTTAGTTATTTCCTTAAACAAGGATGGGCGTGGGGTCAGACCTGACGGTCTGTTTTTGCTCTGTCCCAGCTTCCAACGTACCTGAACCAAGCCATTAAGAACACCTGGCCTTGTCCCAACTGGGGCACTTGCAGTGTTGTGGTCCTATATAGGCTGTAGGGTGTCCCATTTCCTATTTTGGGGTTTAAGGGGGCTCTCACGATTCTTTGAGATACGGGCTAAGACCATTCATAGTGCATGTGGTTGTTCTGTTCAACATGACAGAGAAGAAAATTTTCAAATGTGAACTAAAACACATTTATTTATTTAATTATTGTTTCATTGAGCTGCATTATACATGTACTATATAGGAAGTCATGGTAGATAAGCAAACTGGCTTATTTAAAAAAGCAAGTACAATTGAAAGCATCATCTCACCAGGTACGATACATGCTTAGCCAATGCGTTGCACAAACCTGTCCCAGATGTTCGCTCGGAAGCCTAATGCGCTTAAGGACTCTTACCTACGTCCAGGTGCGCCCATATGGGGATAAAGGGGAAAGTTACCACTGGGGGGGGACAAGAGGTCTAGCACTGTGATCAGAAAACATAACAGTGGAGAATAACATTAAGAGAAAGTATTATAAATATTATGTTAAGAGAAAATATTGTTCCAAAGAGAAGATATTAGGGATGTACACATGTGATCATAGCCAATCCTGGCATATTTTAATGAATCACTGTCAGCTATACTAAGCCTGTTCCAGTTTTGATTTTTTGGCATACATAGGACTCTCACATTATCCACAACCTGCGGCAGTGAGGCGCTTTTTCAGAAGTTAATCAAAGCATTCTGAAATGCTTAGTATTATTGCAGTATCGATTGAGCATATGGCCTGGATCTATTTGGACTTCTGTCACAAGTTCATGACCTGTGGGTGCCCTTTTTGCGTACAAGGCACTCATTAGGTAATGTAGAATGAATTAGCATGTGCATTTCTGAGTATGATAGTTTTGTACTCTTCCTTCTCTTTTCTCCTGAAATGATTCACTTTCCTTCAAAAAGTTCTTAATGACTTACCTGCTGTTGAATATCTACTTAAAATCTCTCTGAATAATGCAGACCCACTGACTGTCTCACACACATGAGGAACATGACTTTTTGGACATCATGTTTGTGTTGTGTAATGTCATTGCATCAGAATTAGACTCAATGGGCGATGCGAAAGTGTTCGTTTATGTACAAAAAGCTTATCAGAATCATGCAGCAATTTCCTTAGAGATGCTGTCTTCATTCTGAGCTCTCCACCCATGTCTCACTTGTCTGACTTTGAGTTTGCGTTAATGTGTTCACGCATGAACCGGTGCCTGCCAATGTACGATGACGTAGGCTTTTTGGTGGTCAGCTAAAGTTGAAAAGGGCTGGCTAAGGTCAGGGCAGTGAACTTTTTCAGTATATTCCTCTTTGTAAAAAAAAAAAAGTAGAGACCGGAAAAAGTAGAACGTTACAGAGGCCTGGGTAATATGACAATAATTATTGTTATCGTCATAAATTATGTCACAGTATATTTTTCTGAGCAAATTGTGGATATGATCAATACTTAAACAACACTTCTCAACTGTATGTTTGATTACAAAGAGCATAATTAGTCCTGTTTAGTTGGATTTAGTACAGCACAGTGTGTAAAATGTTGAATACAAAGCACTGTATTCCTAATTTTTACAAGTATTTTTCTAACATGGCACTACTTTGTCTGTTTCAACTTATCAGATGTCAGAAAAAATGTATATCGTAACATATTGTAATCTTGAAAACTTAATATGTAACTTACTGAAATTGCATGTGGTATTGCATTTTTGTCATTAAATTAAATTGCAGTTATTTACAGTCAAATACATTCAATTCCCTGAATGTTCATTAATAATGAATTCTTACATTGGGCACATACATACATACATACATCATCTAAACCGCTTATCCTTCTGGGTCGCGGTGGGGTGCTGGAGCCTATCCCAGCTGTCATTGGGCGGAAGGCAGGATACACCCTGGACAGGTCGCCAGTTCATCACAGGGCAGACAGACAGACATACACAGTCACACACACACACACACCTAGGGGCAATTTTAGCATGTCCAATCAGCCTGACTGCATGTTTTCGGACTGTGGGAGGAAACCGGAGTACCCGGAGGAAACCCACGCAGACACGGGGAGAACATGCAGACTCCACACAGAAATGACCCTGGTCACCCAGGGAATCGAACCCAGGCCATTCTTGCTGTGAGGCGACAGCGCTACCCACTGCGCCACCGTGACATTGGGCGCATGATCATTAGTTAAAACCAACAAAAGTACTACTCAGACAGGATTATTTAGGTGAGATAAACAATTTTCTCAACAATTTTAACTGATTCCATATAAAACAAAATATAGAAATAACCCCAGTTCATATTAATTCTGTATGAGTTGCCATGTTAGTAACTATAAAATGAGTTTTCATGGTTTTTCTTTTGGCCATTTCTTTTGCCAATTGAAGATGCTTTTTCTTTTACACTGTAAACATGGTTAGTCAGTTCAGTTTGTACTTTAGGTGAACTAAAAAGCAATAATTTGGATGAATTAGAGTTTAAATAACAGCTCAAATTAGTAATGTTAGAAATATAATATCATGATACTACAAGACATTTTCACAGTACATGATAAATATTGATATTTGGTGATATTTAGTTTTACTGAGGTTTGATCAGTTGAAACAGGTGAGAAAAAGAATCAGTCGTGCCACATTTCACAAAATACTATGGAAAAATATAAATACAATGGTTTTTATTCATCGACAATCATCAATATGTGTACAAAAGTGTATTGACATAATGTGATGTAGTTTATCATGTCTAGTTCTCTAGTTCTACTATTTACAGTGTTTTCTCTGTGGCCCAAGTCAAGCAGATATGTATTGTCCTACCTTATGAAACCTTCAAACCTAATTAAAAGATGTAAAATGACAGAAAAAGGTTTGTTTTTTGTTTGACAGTGTTGACTGAAAATTTGCAAGCTGAAGACACATTTCTTTCACTTAAGACAGCTAGATAGATGGTAAGATTAAACAAATTCCGATTAAATACGGTGTTCAGACATGTGTTTCTACTAGCTGATCATAGTGTGTATAGACTGAAAGTGATTGTATATCCACACCCAGGACAAACATGAACTTTTGATGAACTTTTTTGTCACACTTGGCTCCTTACAGTATATTCATGTATTAATATGCTTAGCTCAAAAAATGTGTAATTGCATCTGATTCTAGTCATTTGTCAGGAGCGTGAGGTCACCTCATGTTTACATCGATTTGACAGAATTCCAATGGCTAGATCGAATAAAGCCAGCCCTTGTTACATATCCAGTTTTTACTGTAATTAGTAATGATTTTGTATTAGCTTTATGAAATGCAACATATCAAGGTGTCATCTTTTTTCTGCCCAAATGACATCACTGGGTTGAGCTTTATCAGTACACAAGCCAAAAAGCACATCTGGGACCCTATATTCATGATGCAAAGTAAATCTTACATCCACAGCTAATGCGTGGTGAAAAGCAATGAGGGCGTATCCAAAAGACACGCTGTATTTTCTTTAAGCACTCGATAAGCACGTCCGCAGAAAGCATAGGTGTAGTTGAAGAAGGGAGCTCTGGTGATTAATTGTCTTCTCATCCAGTCGCATTACGCATTTCATAATTTTTTTTTCAGATT